ATATATACATATATACATATATACATATATACATATACATACATACATACATACATATATTAATGCAAGAAGCAAACCAGACCTATCAATAAAATAAAAATAGCCTTAATATGGAAATAGGCTCACCACATGCATTCTATTTGCCACTTCAAGTGCCTTCTGTTTTGCAGTTTCTACAGCATATTGATGTGGGGCTGAAAAAGTTGACTTCTCAAGTGTTTCTTTGAACCATGATGGAACAACTTCAAACCGGAGACCCTGTTAAACAGAAAGAATACATGAATCAGGGAGTGGGGGGGGGGGGAAATCATGCAAGATTTATATTTTATAGGCTGCAATCACCAAGACCTTGGTGATTAAAGACTACTTAACACTATCTTCTTTAGAACTGCAGACTACAATCTGGGATATCTAGCATCACAGATGCAACAGGAGAATATAGTACACTAACTTTTCCTAATTTCTACTCTATTGGCAGAGCTTAATATTATCTCACAGAAAGTAAGGGCTGCCTAAATTGAAAAAACTGAGTGAGGTACAGCAGTTAACAAAATGCTTCCGTGGGCCTTCAAAAACAAAATGATATTATGATAAAGCCACCTTGCTAAACCTGAATCATTTCTTAATCATGCTTAAAGACATTATTAATAAAGCAAAAGTTTAAGGTTTTAGAAGGAAACCATTTCACTAATTCCTACAAATTACATATAGAAGATATTGGGGAAATAAGCAACTGACTAGCTAGAAACCTGAACTATTAGTTAGTTGCTTGCCTCCTTTGAATTTAGATGCCCTTCAGTTACAAACACGATAATTCTTATCCACCTTATGAATTCACAATGACAATTTCTTAACTACTTGTGAACACAGCAAACTGAATGAAATATAAGCAGCAAAGGTAGCTGTGTGGTGTTTGCTTTAAGGAGAAAATAGAATATACAACACTAATATGATTATTAGGCTACAATTCTTCATCAGTAAGGTAACTAAAGTAAAGAGAGTGGGAAGAAAAGATGGACTGTGTCTAAACGATGTAATCTTTATAAATTCATTTTATTAAGATGGACACTATCTAAACCATGTAATCTTTATAAATTAATTTTATATAAAGGAGAGCTATGTTACCTTTCAGTGGCAAAAAAACCTGAAGAATCTGATAACACCTTCTTCAGCTGACAAATTGTATTACAATATATAAGCTGTGGCTCACAAAAGCTTATGCATTTTAATAAATTTGTTAATCAGAGTAAGTGTTACTACTAGACTTCTTAAAATAGAATGGAACAATACATCGCCAGCTTTCACATTAAGGTTTTTCACTTGCTGAGATTACTTCAGCTTGGACCTAGGCTTCTCCCAAGAGCTATGGAGAAAATCCCACAATATTTTATCCTCAGTTTCTAAAATTATAATTTAA